TGTGCACAAGAATGCAATCAAGATGTGATTTTTGGGTCCACTTCCTCACCTTTTCTTGAACTCAGAGGAACTTATATTAACAGCCGTTTTATAAAAGTAACATATGCACGTCAGAGGCAAATAATGAAACTTTTTCTTTGAATTTTCCCTAGGAGAAGAGCTACAGTGACTTTTGTCACAGGCTGGAAGGGACATCTAGAAGTAATTTAGTCCAAGCCTCCTGCTCAAAACAATGTCAGCTTGAGTAGGTTGCTAAGGGCCATGTCCAGTTGAGTTCTGAGTATCTCCAAGGACGGAAACTCGATAACCTCTCAGCGCACCTGTTCCAATATTCTACCAACCTCGTAGTAAAAAAAAGGGGTTTGAAAAATGTTTAAATCAACTTTTTTCTTGTATTTCAATTTGTACGTGCTGTCCTATCACTGGATACCACTGAAGAGTGTCTGAATGTGTCTTCTTTGCACCCATCAGGTATTTTTGTACACATTTACAAGATGCCCTTCCAAGGCTTCTCTTCTCCAAGCTAAACAATCCCAGTTCTGTCAGCCTCTCTGGGTATGTTTGATCCTGCTTGCTCCTAGTCGTCTTTGAGGCTGTTGACTAGACCCAGTCTGGTGTGTTCCTTTCTCTTTAGTACTAGGGTGCCCAGAACTGGACACAGTACTCCAGATATGGCCTCAACAGCCCTGAATAGAAGGGAAGGATGAACTCCACTGACCTACTGGCAACATTTCCTAATGTTGGCCCTCTTTGCCACAAGAGCACAGCACGGGCTCAATTTCGACTTGATGTATGCCAGAACCTCCCAGGTCCATTTCTGCAAAGTTGCTTTCCAAATGGCTGGCCTCAGCCTGTACTGGTGTAGGCGTTTATTCCTTCTTAGATTCAGGATTTAGCAACACCAGTGTGAATAACAGAGGACAACCACTTTCTAAGCTATGCTCACACAGATGTACATTGCCATGCACCCCTGAGCTCCTCCACAGTTTTGTTTCATGCAAAAAAAAGCCACTGCCAACATATATATCAGACTGTCACTGAGATACTGCCAGTTCTGGTTTCAGTGTGCCAAGTGCACACAGAAGTACTTGCATTATGTAACCACATCAAGTGGCTGAGAATATGAAAGGGACATTTACAAAAGTGTGTGCACAGTTATGCAGACCTGATCTTAAAATACAGTTCTGAGTTATCTTTCTGTTGACATCCCAGACTTAGGGGACTTCACCTCTAAAGCTGGCTCTCTATTTATGAATTCTAAAATATCACCACTCTTTATCATTCCATAAGGCAGACACCCCTTTCCAAAAGAGAGATTTGCACCTTTCCCCCACATCTTCCTAATATTTTGAGCATTTTTCCTTCTGTTTCCTTTGGAAAAAATCATGCTGACTCATATGCTTGCAGCTGTACTCTCTCCAGTTTTGACCATGACATCTAATACTGCAAGGGTGCACAATGTAAATAATTTGAGGTATTTCATTTCTGACACATTAATGCAGCAGAAAATGTGATGAAAGGACCAAACCGTACTCACCTTCTTCAGAAGAGAGTTCATTAAAAATCACAAAGAACTCATGAGAGTAGGAGTTGACCTGAAGTCCTGACAAAACCAACACTGAAAGAAGGGTTTACTTTGCTTTACATTCCTAAAAGAACATCAGCTAGAACTAGGATATTTCAATTTAGATAATTTTAATTTCTAATCTTTATTCCTTTTTGATAAAATTTCACTATTTCTACAGGAAAAACACGAGGGCAAGTTAAGAAGAGGACGTAATATCTATGAGGCCATATTAAGCTGGAGACTGAATTTGAATTTTCCTTTTTCAATAATATTTTTTCAATACATTAATTTTTAAACACACTACAGTGTAAAGATGTCCTTATTCAACCTCAGCATTTTCTGGGTAAAAGACCTTCCTATTTAGACAAATCCTGAAATCATCTGTGAGAACTCAACTGTCAGATATAAATTCTTCAGATGCAGCCTTTCCTTACTGATTGGTGGGTAGTGGTAAGTATACTAGGGAAGGCATTGTTCTATGCACAGCCTGGTTTTTGTATATTTGTTTTTTTAGAAAATCTCTGCTACCAGCAGCTGTCAGATTTGAGCTAGGTGGAGTGATATGGTCTAATCCAGTGTGGACTTTATAAGGCTTTATGTTTCCGTGCTACTTCCTCATCTTTTTCATCATCTCCTTTGTTTTTCTTCCTCTCAGTCTTTAAAATACAAGTGTGACCTTCACTTCCTCCACTTCTCTGGCTGAATCTCCTGTAGTTGGCACATCAGTCTATATTTTTTCTACAGGTGCACCTGCAGCCTTCTCTTCTTATTCACATTATACCACTGTCCTACTCTGATGTCTGTCTAATATTCCAGAACGGGTATGCCCATGATAGAGGTTTTCTTGATCTCATGACTTCTATCCTCTTCAGTTCCTAATGCATTATGTCCACCTCAGCATTTCTTTCCCTTCTCACAATTCCCAGATTTTTCCCCAGAACTGCCTTTTCAGCACTAGTGGATCTGTTCTTCCTTCTTTCCTTCCAAGTCTTTGCACCTTTCCTTTGTCACCTTCCTTAATCTTGTAGAACAGGTGAGTTAGGAAGGGAAATAGGTGCCTCTCCTAACAGAGTCGGGAGTGCATTTTAGAGTCTAGTGCCCAGGGGCTTTAGACTAGATGATCTCCAGAGGTCCCTTCCAACCTTAAGCATTTTGTGAAATCCTGATGCATTCAAACAGGAAGCATAAAATGAAGCTGTCTGCTAATTTTCCAAGGAAGACATTGGCACAAACAAGATAAATGAACTCAGTGTTGTCTGAGACAGAGATGCCAACTTATTTAAATAAAGAGTGCCCTGCAACAGCTCAGGTCACTTAGAGGCTAAAGGAACATTACTGATGACTTTAACTATTAGAACGCTGATATGCCATGAAATGTTACAGTCTGGTAACATAAATAGCTATTTGCTATTATTCTTTATAGGTGGGAAAGGAATAGACTTTTCTTAACAAGTTTTGGAATATGGAAACAGTTGTGTTACCCAGAAGTTTGCACACTGCAGTGCTGTGCATTTTGAACAAAAGCAGTGACCTAAATGAGCCTTTGTCCCATCTGCTGACTACCAGTGGTTTCTGAGCAATACACTGTCCTCCTGACTATTTGATACTGGGGATGATTTAATACATTCCTGTCCCTAAGCATTTTTCTTCCTGATACTTTTTTTTCCTATCCAATTAGGTTCCCATACCAGATCCTATGCCATAT